GAATAGCCACCCATCTCAAACCAGTGACTCACTTGGCTACTTCTCCTTTATGAAGCTTGCATAAAACAAGTAAACTCTTGCCCTAATAGCAATTTAGGTCCATGTTTATTACTATGTGCTTTCTGTAGTGTCCTTTTTTAAAGAAATATGTTTGCATTGACACTTCTGTGTCAACTAAGGTATTTAAGTAATCGTTAGGCATTGTCTGGATGCTCCACTCAAAAATTCTCTCTTCCACAGACTGAATACTTTCTCAAGGAAGAGGACATCTACAAGTAAAGATTTTAAAACTTGTATAATAGAAGTTTCAGCACAAATAACTCTAGAAATTACAGTGCATAGAATGCCTTGGAGTATATTCTGGGATCTAAAGCTTTGTAGATGGAGAACTGTAATTCCCTCTTCTATAGTAGCATTCATGTGTCCTTAAAACCCCCTCTTCTGTTCAGCAATTTCTTGAACAGCATGACTTGAACAGCACATCATTGTGCACTACTGAGGTTTCCTTCAGATGGCCAAGGGTACGTGGAGTATGAATAAGAAAATAATAAAATCAGTGGGATCGTTAGTTCAACATTATATTCTAACAATGGCCAACTGGATGTATAAGGGAAATCGCAAACAGGTCATGAGCACTCCCACTCAAGTTCTGCTGCAACTAGTAGTAAGGAACATATTAATAGCTATATAGAAACCATTAATTATGGTTTTCGGCCAATAATGCAAATGGAAGAATGTTATAGTGAATTTTAATTCCATGTGTATTATTTAGGATCTCCTTACTATTCAGTTCTTAAAAGCAGAGAAGTTTTCAGGGGCTGAGAAATCATTGTCATTTGTTTATTTGCACAAATCTCATGAAGATTAATTCCACACAGTGTCTACATGTTAAACAGTCAAATCAAAACACACATTTTAATGGTTTTTTTACAGTTTAGTGCTTCATCTACACTTGCATTCAGCATATTACTTGAGTTAATTCTCCCTCTAACTTAGAAAGATCTCTGATGACAAAGCCATAGATTCTCATGACTAATAGTGTGAATATTGAACACATCAAGATAGGAACTCATAGCACGTCACAAACTAAACACCCCAGATTTTTAAAAGGCTTATTTATGATATACAACTGTTTCTCAGAAATATCTTTCTTCAGTAAGAGCAGCCAATGCTAGATCATTTAGCAACACTGAGATGAAATGAATTTCTTTCCATCAAATGAGATTGGTTTACTTTATTTAATATTTCTTTTTTACTTTATTTAACATTTCTTTTTTCTATTATTTTTCAGAAAAAAATTCTACCCTGCACCCTAGCAAGGACTTCCAGAATGTGTTCCTTTATATGAGGAATTTTAGAAACAATAGATATGTATATCTGTGACAGAGATGTACAATTTGTAGCTTCCCAAGTCTTGCACATAATTCCTCCAAAAATTATTTTATACCAAGTAGAGCACCATACTGATAGGCCATTGTGGCCTTTCACCTGAAAAAGATTACGCACTTCTGATCTCTGGCAGCATTTAGGTAACAAAAGAGAGAGAGAATGCTATAATTTCATGTGCAGTCTACACAGTATGCAATGCACACATGCTGAAACTGAGAACATTTAAAATTAATCCAATTAAGTCTAATCTACGGCTGTGCAGCCTTTTTCATAGTTAGGTCTACTTGCTCTGTGAGTGGCATGCCAAGGTCCTAAAAGTGGCCAAACCCAAGATAAACATGGTCTAGCAAGGACAAAATCATTTATTTAAAGTTAATTTTAATGTAATTTAATTTGAATGTAAGCATATTTAATTAAACTTGAATTAAACTAATTAAATGCAGCTAATGTGATTACTCTCTGTGTAAAACAAGGTTTTTCTTTCTTGTTCTTTCACAAAAATTACAAAACGTTGGCAGCCTTTGGAGATGAAGTATGGCAGTTTTACTTCTTTTTTGTATTTGCATTTGGATCTTGTGAAGCAAATACTTCGCATGGTCTATTGTCTTAGTGGCTCTGCAGCTGCAAAAATAATACTATTGTCTTCCAACTCTTCTAATTGCCTCCAATATAATATTAGAGGGCTTAACATAAGCTAAATCCCATCTTTTACAGCTTTTCTACCTATTTATTATTATATTATGTAATCCCATGTAGCTCATGTCTCTTCCCTGCACTGTGTCTTCAGTTGTTTTGGAGATTAAAATTGCCATGTATTAGTGTGCCTGCACTGGACTCTAGATCAGTTTCCTTCATTGTGATGTATTGGAAAGAATGAGTACTTGTGGTAGAAAAAGTAGTTTCAGTAGCAATGAAGAAAGAGTTCTCTGCTTTAAATCGGAAGTCTTTCAGCGGATCTATTTTGAGCGTTTGGTCTAATTGTATGTCATCGATATATTATAATTTCATTTCCACAGCAGTAATTTTATATCAAATTGTATTTTGTCATTAATGTCAGAAGTAAATGTACGTGAATTTAATTGAATTTATTCCTAAGCAAGCATGAGTAAGATTACAGCCTGAGAAATTTAGGAAAATATCAATTTCTTATATTTTTCCTTTTGAGGAGGATTTTGTGATTTTCTTACAAACAAGCATGATGGTTGCTGTTAAAAAAAAATCTGCATTTACTTGTAAGTTATTCTGATTCATAGAATTCAGTTCTGGGATGAAATGCTTAGTCAGAAAACTTTCTTTATGGAGAACAAACATAAAACCAATATTCTCCCTTTGCATCGTAAAGAAAAAAGGTAGTTTCCTCTAAAGTAAAATGTAGGAGAACAGATACCTTATACACTTGGCATGTCTTCTTATTGTTTCGTTTTATATTAAAATATTTGCCATATATGCCATTTGATTACTTTAATAAATCTTAACCATCTCTAGACTGAAGGAACATAAGCCAGGAGTTTGCAAAAGACGCCCTCTCCCATCAGGCAGCCATCATCACCCAGCCATATACTATGTTAAATGAGCAAACTGAGCAAACCACACATGCCCAAGTAAATTATCATGACTGTAATTCAAGATTTTGTTTGTTTGTTTCCCTGTGGGTTCATAGTTTATGTGGCAGGAAGTACACTGATATTAAATTTCCAGGAAACAATCTCCTTGTGAAGAATGCGAAGATATAGTACTAGCTGAGGAAAAATAGCATATAGATTGTGCAAAAGGTCTGAATTTATAAAATGTGCAGCTAATTATATGGTTTGGGAACTATATATATATAGTCCAGCATACCAGAGACATGGGAGAAGAAAGATAGAATGCAGGAAATTAGAAGAATTCAGAATTGGGGGGGGGGGAATTATTCATTCCTCTGTAGCAACATAAAGTAATCTCATTCAGTTAAATGAAAGCTTTACCTACATTAATTCATAGAGAATTTATTATACCCCAATAAAAACTAAATTGCTCCCTCCAGAGGAAGTTCATATTTTGGTCTGAGATTTTTCCCATTTTATTTTTATTTTTTGAAGCAATAGCAGTCTTGGAGGATGGTTGCATTGTCAGCATTTGTCTTGAAACTCTTGGATATTAGTTTTGAATGCAGTCACCTTTCTGACAAGTGTTGTTGTGAGTGTGGTTTATATCCCTTTTTGGGGTGATTTCTAATGATAATGCTCTGTCTACCTCACTGCTTCACACTAAATTATAGATGCCACGATGACAGGACAAACAGTATTCAGGTGCTAAACTCTACTTTCTTTGTGTGATGTCAGTACCTTTCCCACAACATGAGTGGAATTAAAATTAGGAAGAGAAAATATGCAAAATATTTCTGCTTAAAAATAATGTTCTGTCAGTTATTAAACAAGTAATATTTCATTTAATCACCTAAAGGGATTACTATAAATGAGCGGGCAGAAAGAATAATTTTCTTAACACGTTCCTGCCCTAGAGTCCTACTATAATGGATCTTCACTTTGCCAAATTAAGAAGTTATAATTCAGGTCGTCATCAGGATTTATCTTTTTTAGAATGGTATATACAGTTCACCTTCCTGACATAAGCTCTCAGACACAGAGATATAGATGTTATATTATATCATGCCCTCGTTTTACAACGTTTACATGATTTCCACTCCCACTCTGGGGGGAGAGATTTCTCTGTATTTACAGTATATATCCTATGTGGTGTTTTTTTTTTACTTGTCTTGGCCACTAAGAGGCAGTACCCAACCAGTTTGGTTCTATTTGAAACTTGACAGGTGTACATATAGTGGTTTTACTATGGGTTCAAACCCTCATGAACTCTTGCTCTTTTAAGTGACTGTATACAGCGCACTGAGTTTAGGAGCTGTTGAAATCCTAGTGCTCAGCAGTGTTGCAGGGAGAGATATATAGAGTCTGTCTTTTTACAAATGAGATACAGAGAAATATAGATGTTATATTATGGCATGCCCTTATCAACAGGACAGACTTAAAAATGGTCTTATTTCATTACAATCCGTTTGAGGCACAGCATAAACTGTGATAATATAGGTATCTCTTTTCTTTTTAAATAAATACTACAAAGGGGCTTTACAACTACAAAATTAGTTGAACTGGCATACCATACAGTGCTGTAAACAGAGGTTACAATTTCTGGCTTCACCTGTGCATGGTTGTCTTGTCTAACTCTTTGCCTCCTTTCTCCCCGGCCACTTAGCCAAGGCTCCTGCACAAGTCTCACATGAGCAACAGTCAAAGAAGTCATCCATTCTCTCGTCTGCTCCAAGAAAAGGTGATAGATAGCACATGTTGGTTTGGTCCATTCCAACCTCCTTATAAGCTTAGAACTGAAGGGTGGGACAAAAGATCAGTGTAAAATGGTTGAAACACAACAGCTGAGATAAGGTTCAGCTTATCACAGTTTTCAAAGAACTCATGGGAAGTTGATACCATGATTCCTCTTCTGTCGTAGTGCTTATTTGATCATGGTATTCGTGCCACTTACATCACACCTTTTTTTTTTTTTTACTAATAGAACAGGTAGATCTGATATATTTTATACTTCCTTTTTATTTGCAGATACAGATACAGCTGTTACTCTTAGTGTGGCCAAATTTTGTGCTGTGGCTTGTCCAGTCCACCAAATGACTCTTCAGGAATCGGGTTAGTGACAAGTTATTGAGGCCCTGAGCTTTATCTGGATCTTGCCATCATGTTTTTTTTATGCCAATGTTTTATTTGCCTTGTTATGTTTCTATTTTGGATTAGTCAATGCTGTAACAAAGATTTGATTTGATAGCAACTGTGTTGTACAGAGATGTACGTCATGAAGGCTTACAGTATAAAATATATATTTTCACAGCTGCCAGTTCCCGTATTATCCTATACAACCTTTGCAATCAACTCATGAAATCTCAGATTCTTCAATGAGCGCCTTTGGAACTCTCTTCACAGGAGATCATAGAATGCCCTCTCTATTGCCTTACAGACATTTTATTATTCTGTTTGAACAGCATCTACAGCAAACTGCGATGATGCCAGAATTATAACACACATGTGATGGTATCATCACATGAATGCCACAATTTTGTATTCTTTATGTATGACACAAGTATGTAAATGGTGGCATTTATGTCATCATTCCCCCCCCCCTTTTGATTCCCTGTAGTCAGAATCTGATAAATGTAGGAGTTATTTTTAGGATAGTTTTTAAAATTGTATGTTTCTGCTGATTTAGTCTATATTTAATATGGTTATATATATTTATAATTATTATGGAATTTTAATTGGTATGAATTGCAAATTCCATTGTTAGGAAGAACATCATAAAGATGGGTTTTAATTATGTTGTTAAGAAAGTTAATAGCCCCAATGTCGATATAATCTAGCACTCTGCTTTGGACCATGTCTGAGTTATTTGTTCCCAGTATATTAGTAGTCATCAGAATACACTGCTTCTGAATATGGAGGCTCTTCTTGTAACTCTCGTGGGCAATAATGGGGGATAATAAATAATCCCTCTATTAAGTGACTAATACATTTTGAAAGCCAGTAAAGTTATCTGTACCATTCAGTGTTCTGATTTTGTGGCAATTCTATTATTTTATATAATTTTGTGTGAAAAAAATCCTAGCTGCCTTGAATCTTCTGTCAGTTAAATAAGTGGCTTTTTGTCTGTTTGTTTGTTGCCTTTGAGTCAGTGTTGACTTCTGGCGACTACTTGAACTAGTCCCTGCAGTTTTCTTGGCACGATTTTTCAGATGTGGTTTGCCGTTGCCTGTTTTCTAGGCTGAGAGAGAATGACTGGCCCAAGGCAACCCAGCTGGTCTCCCGGTTGCTAGCCTGCTGCTTTAACCACTACACCAAACTGGCTCTCTGAATTGGCTTACCCAAATTCTATTATATAAGTGGCACAAAGAATTCCCCCACCCCGTTTTGCTTTTGACAGGATTACTGTATGGAGTTACCGGTCATGTTTACCTCTCTACTAGTTGAGTAAACTGTATAACACAATATATGAAAAGGTTAAAAATATATCTCATATCAATCTAAGCCGAAATTGAAATTGTTAAAAATAAATGATAGGCAAAAGGAAGGTAGCTAAATATTGTAAACAGACAGCATGAGCTATACTTTTATAACCCTGTCTCTGAGGATTTTTTTTTTTTCATTTATCTTTTGAGAGAGACATTCTTATTACAAGAAGCGTTCACTAAAAATTAATTGTTTATTAAGAATTAATTAAAAAGGTTTGCATTGGTCTAATTGAATTGGGACTATCTTTCTCACTGCTTTGAACTTACAGGTGCTGCTGAGGTTGTAGTTAAGATGTTAGAATATTGCTTTACTCCATTGCAAAGGGTTCTGTCAAGAAAATCTTTAATATAAAAATAAAAAGCAGTTCATGCATAAAGCATGATGCCCTGAAGCATATTAGATCTGTTTATCTCTGTGTTTAAAATGAACAGTACCTGGTATAGTTTACATAACAAGGCAGGGATCAGCTTGATAAAGCATTTATATCACCAGGGGAACACACCGGCTCATTTCCTCCACACTGTTCTGCATGACTAGCTTGCCAGCTAGCATAATAGCAAACAAAGTTTTAATAGGTCAAGAGCAGAGTAGCCAGTTCTGTTATAATAAAGGGTGTTGCTGATTGCTCTTCTGTTTGTTTTTTTGGGGGGGGGGGTTCTGTTTTGCTTTATGAGAATATTTATGGGGCTAATTATTGGTTGGGGCTTATGTACATAAGAACTTCCCAAATCTACCACTAATAGGTCTATTATCTGAAAAGCAACAAAATCTCCTGATTCCTTGAAAGATTAAGAGATGTGCTATAGCTTAAGTCATCCTATCGCCCTTCAGAGGTGTTGGGACTGCAGTTCCCAGAATTTCTAGGCACCTGCCACCTGGTATTAGTGGAAGTTGTAGTCCAAATCTGTTTGGACTGGTGCCGGGTTGAGAAAGGCTGACATTTGTGGGAGCAAAAGCTGCTTCATCAAATGCAAGCAGAGCCAAATGGCCATGAACATAATCATTCAGATAGTTACAAACTGAACTGACGTGAGGCATTTCGTTTGTCAGCTATAGATTTCATTATCCTTCAAAGCAGAGAAGAGTTATTTGGTCAAATATATCTTATATACTGGGTAAAATGCATTGGCTCACAAATGAAAAGCTATACAGGTAGTCCTCATTTAGCGACTGCCTTGCACAGCGACCATTCACAGTTACAACAGTGATGAAAAAGTTACCTTGCGACCAATGCCTACATTTACAATACTTGCAGCATCTCTCCCTCCCTCCCTCCCT